ATGTGCCGTTCTTCACTCACGTCACCGTAACACGTCTTTCTTCTTTAGCCATGGCTCCACTGTCATGTACCGCCCGCCTCCACAACCCCCCCCGGGACCCCGGATCCTGGATGGTTTGCCACAGCTCATGCTTCAAGGTTCCGACTTCGCCTTCCCAAACTTCCTCAAGCTTGGCCTCTGCTCTCGCTCAGCTCGCTCGGCAGAAGACCCCTATTTTGAGAGCACCATGTATGTTTAGGAGATCTGGACTGCAATGCTGTTTAGGGCAAGTGAAGACAGTTCATCACGTTAAAAATGCAGTTAAACTGCTTATTATTCAACGCATTCATGCTAATTGCATATAATGTCAACTCACTGAACATACTTCACCAGGCAGCTGATTCTGCCAACGACCCAGCCCTCCACCTTCCTTCCACCATGCGGCGATGCTGGCTTGCAGGTCGGTCTTCAACAGCCCCTTGGCGGAGGGCTCCTTGGCGCGGCCCCGCCCGCGCGCGGATCGGCAACGTCCGGGTTCGAAAGCGAAGGATCTTGGAAACTTGGAGAACCGACCGGGAAGAACCCGTGCAGCGTTGCAGCGCTGCAAATGCTCCAGGCTCTGGAAACCCCAATTTATGGCCTGATTCAGGCCGAGCAGGGCCGAGCAGGTAGAGCAGCTCAATGGTCAAGCTCAAACCCCGAAGGTTGATGTGTTTCAAACGCCAAGCATCCGGGAGATGAAGAACTTGGAAGCCTAGGCTTGGGAGCCTGAATTGGTGTGACACTCGTATTTTTTTGGCCGATTGAAGCCTGAAAAGAACCCCAAAACTGTGGTCCATTTCGGCGAGCACTTCCAGATTAAATAGAATTAATCCATCTATCATCATCCATCATTCCAAATGGGGATGGTCGGGCATATGGACAAAGTGGGGCAAATACCACATCATACATTCCAAACACCAGTTGTTCTGTTGAAAATTGCGGCAGATCATTCCCCGCAAGCACCAGTTCCGTTCCACATGGACGCTGCTCAGGCACCTTGGCCTTCAACGTCCGGACCCCGCGACGAACGTAGCAAGAGGACGCTAGTAACGTAACGAGGCTTCACCAGCACCGCCCTCACATCTCCCCGGTGCTTTTCGATCCTTTTCCACCCAACTTGGTGGCGAAGGACGCTGGGCCTGGGTGGCGCCCTCGCTCGCGGATGGCGAGGCGCCACAGGTTCCCTCCAAGGCTCCACTTGCGCCACCTTGTCGTTGATCAACTTGATCTTCTCAGCCATGGCCTCCATCTTCTGCCTCAGCTCTTCTTTGAACATCGTTTTTTGCTCGCGAGTCGAACAAATGGGGGGAGAGCGAAACGAAGCAAGATGAAGATGATGAAGGATGGGGGAAGATGGGGCTCCAATCCCTGAAACCCATGCACTAAGAAGCTACGAACGGAGCAAAGGGCATCGCTACGAAAAGAAAGCAATGTTGGCAATAAGGGATCCATCCAGATTCCATGCGATCGGCCTCTGGCACCCAGAGCCGAAGGAGTGTGGATTCTAAGCACTGGTCACTAGAACCCCCGAAATTGTCCAAGTTCCACGTGACCTCTGGTGACAACCTTGGGCAACCAGATGTTGAGCTGCAACTTGCGGCAGCCTTCACAAACAACTAATTCTACCTCCGCCAAGTCAAAAATCGATCCAACAAAATGTGCCATACGGCATGCTCGAAAAAACACCAAACGCGAGGTTTGCCTCATGCTCATCCCGAACATTTTGCTAACGAATGGCATAACAAACCCGTACTGCCATAACAAACCAAAACATGACAAACTCCGCTGTGCTGAAGAACTCCGCCCGTTTCCTCCCCAGGATCCCAAATGTTGTCCGCTTCCAGCCCCACCCAAACCCCGCGCGCGAGTGACCCGCCGAGTTGTGCGCGACTCCGCAAAAAGTCACGCTTTGCAAAGGGAGTGTGGCGAGTACGCTTCGCCCAGGGGCTTGATCTTTTGGATCTCCTTGCCCACCCGATTCTCGGACGCATGCTTGGCATCCAAAATCATCACCTCCACTTGCTGACCAATGTCACCTGGGCGACCGGACTGGACGCCACGTTTTTCCGCGGCAGGTTGGGTGTTTCCCCCCAAGGCCAACCCACGGTCCCACGGGGACCACTGCCATGGTCCCATAAAGAACGGATTCCGGCAGAATAGCCTTGCTTTCGATGCAAGCGGTAGTTGCTGTTGGTACATCAATCTCCACCCCCTCCCTATCTCTCTCTCTCCACATGGATTTTTCTGTGCACGTGACACGTGCCTTTTTGTCAAGTTAGTAAGGAAACCCATGTCCGAACCCCAGGAGCCCCCCCCCCCAAGTGTTGAGACTCCGCTCCCAGCTAGCAATCTTCAGGCCCTCCGCTCTGGTAGCACACGTGTCACAAGCATGCGGAGGCGAAGCCTCCACTGACGCATGCTTGGTAAACTGTTCGGTGGTTTGATGGTGTGTGATTGCAACAGTTTAGAGTTGGGAGGCTGAAGTGGGTCAAGTTCAATACCTGACCCCCAGGAAGTAGGGCCCATAAATCGTTTTATTAAAGGGGTGCAGTTGCACCACCTCCATTTCATAGAGGATATAGACAAGGGGATCAACTCGCCAAAGTCACAAAATAGTTACATGTACGTAAGCTTCTGAACACATGAACCGCCCACCAACGTTCAAAACATCTTGCACCACCAAGCACGCGCAAGTGGGAGATCTGTGACTCCCCAGCACGTTTGCCTGAATGGGTTCCGAAGTCATATTGGGCTTTCCACCTCCCCCGTGTAAGAATGACAAAATCCTGTCAGCATCCCCCTGCAAAGAAGAAACATCCATCATAATTCATGTCGAAATCCTTCCCAGTCTCCGTTGTGAATCGAAATCTCATCCCTTCTTCTCCCCAAAAACGCATCACATTCTCCTTCCCAAAGAACCTCCTCCTACAAGGCATAAGGCCCCGCATCGCTCCGCATCCCCAGGCACGCGCAATGTCGTGGTGGTAGTCAGGGGCTTCGATCCCCGGCGGCGGTGGTGGTGGGCCGCTGGGCAGCCCCCGCGGCAGCCCCACATCGCCTCGAGCGGAGGCGAACGGCCGACGAGCGGGCGCACGACGTCCGAAGCGCGTGGCGCGGAGGTTCGTTGATGCCAAAAGAGGACGATCCAAATGTGATGATCTTTTTCTACAAGCGGAGGGTTTCAGGAGGGGCGGAAGTAGGGAAAGGGTCTTGCTCTGTTTGGCCGCCTCTATGTAGTTGATTTGTTAAGTAAATCCCATACACTCCATGTATGTAATATATGCCTACATTGACTCCCCAAACCACCCCAACTGATCGGCATATATTCCAGTCCCATGGAGCGTCTGGGAATTGGTTGCCAAATGGAGATGTTGGAAAAGGCCGGTACCTGGATCCAGCGTCCCGTCTGGAACGAACAATATCAAACCTTCGCTTGCGGGTTCTGAGGCTGTGACATGTGTCGACCATGTGGATTCGCGGAGGCCCGAAAACGAGTACACTCCTGAAAACGAACATGGACCCTGACAATAGCCGCCTGGAAGATTGCTTTCCTCTACTCACCATTTTCAGGGTTCATGTTAGTCTTCCAGGGTGTAATTATACCAGACCCTTGTCGTCCATGCCCCGACCCCTCAGTCGCTGCAAACGCACGGCCTCCGAGCTTGGCATTGACATCGGGTACACTGTTGGACCATGCAAAGGGATGCCAAGGGTAAACAAAATGATGGTTTCCATCAATGGCGGGACCCCCAAATCATCCATTCTAATGGGTTGTTTGAACATAAATCATCCTTTTTGTATCCTTGTGGGGCACCCCCATTGATGGACACCTCCAAATAATATGTACACATTCCCCAGATGAGAGGATTCAACTCGTTCGGGAAAATCAAGAATCAACTGATCTGCAAAACCAGGAAACAAAGAAAGCTCTTGGTACCCATCTGGCTTGCAGGTCCAGCAGGTCGCATGCAGGTCCAGCAGGTCCAGCCCCACACGCAAGTCGTGTGGTGCCGTAAGCACCGCGTTTTGGCTTTCGGACACTCACCCCTGGAAATTCCAAGTACCTTCTCAGAAGGTGTTTGGGGTGGGTTTGGAGGGTCCAGGTGCCTTCTGAGAAGGTACTTGGATCCCTAGGGACACACACCGGTCTCTTTCCTGATCTGGGCCGACACCCCTCAGCCATCCAAGGCACTTCCAGCCATGTCTGCCCGCGTCTGTTTCCACGTAGGGGATCACGGGGCGGAATTGGCAAGCGCGCAAGAAGGAACTACGCGCTGGGGCGTTTGCACCGGAAGCAAGCCGGTGGAGCCCAAAGGCCAAGTGGAGACTGCGTATTGGACTGAAAGCAGTGGTGAAACACCGGAGCTGAAGGGGAGTGTACAAATGGGGGGCACGTCCTCTCGGAGTTCCAGGTGCCGACAGCAATAAGAATATAATGTCGACCATTAATAAAGGGATCCGAAACAAAGTTAGCCAAGTTTCCGCCCTGCTTAATAAAGGGATCCAAAATAAAGTTAGCACAAAAAAACACACAACAATAACTATAACAGAACAAGACAACATCTTTCTTGGAACCTGGGATGATTTATTTACCTGCTACCCTGGATAGATACCAATTCCAGTCCAGGATGCTAAAAGATAGCTTTTTGCAAGTTCTCGCAACATTTACGTCCATCTTGTGAATTCACGTCCTTTTGACATCCTGAACGGTTTTTCACGTCCAAAGCCTGAACACTATTATATGAGTGTTGTGAAAAGACCAAGTTCAGCGATTACGGTAAAACACGTCCCGGACAACAAAAGGTGGTTATAAGCCACTGACAGAAACTCCCCGCCTGGTCACCAGCCTGATTTCTTAGACCTCACAATGGTTTCTTCGGATGTCACCTGGAAACAGGAGACGCTCCCGTTCATGGGCTTTGAAATGATGCCACCGCCCCTGCCAGCCACTAACGCTTCCCTCCGGGCAGGCCCCTCTCCTGGCCAAGTTCACTCGGATATCGTCGGTGAAAACATCGTCTCCCAACCTCAGAGTATTAGCCTTCAACAGGGGAAAGCCCAAACGCAGTGGCGGTGATATAGGATCTATCCTGGCCACTCCAGGCATGAGGAGCCCTTGGTAGTTTCACCCCTAACGCTCATGTCATGTCTCTGGACCAAACATTGAGCCCGCCCAAATTACAACGTCGACATGAAGTTCAGAACGTTTAGGACTTCCTAGACTTCCGAGCCCATTTAAAACTGGTTGACCTGGTGTTTGTAGTGTAAACTCCTTAGTTGATTCGGTAAAGCCTATTAAATTGATGGTTGTTGGAAGCCTAGGGGACACGTTCTCCCTCCTGGTGCATGGCACTTCCATCGGAAAAAGAAAAAACAACACACCAAACACCAGCATCCACTTGTCAACCGAATCGACACTCTCCGCGCTCTCGGTGATGACCGTGTTCAACGTCAGACCGCTGACCCGAAAGACCAAGTACCCGCCCGGCTGGCCTTGCTGACTCCGGACCCACCCACAAGTGCCAGGAGACTCCGAGGCAAAAAGCTCCAGCAAGGCGTCCCGAAAGACTTCGATGCCTCATGCCACGAGGTGCGGGCGCGGAGGTGCTGCGCGCGGCGTGCCGCCGACTCAACAAGAAGACAGTGGTATTCCCCAAGGAGAACACACGACAGCAGCTAGAAGGCAAGCGATGACAAGGTGGACGGACGTCATTCTTGTGGCTGTTATGCTAGATTTGAAAGGCAAAGGCAGTGTCTTGCATGGCAACTGGTTCTCCAGGAGCACACCATCCCAAAAAGAACGCATTGTTAACAAACTCATGAACCATCTCCAACTCGATCAATCGGAGCGTCCAAAAACCAGCAAAAACATCGAAATGGTCTGCTACACTTCCTGCCACTATGCCTACGTATGTGCACATGAGCGAATTCTGCATGTTGGACCAGAATAAGAAGCGTAATCTGCTTGCGCGCAATCTAGATGAAAGACTTTGTGCAAGATGCACGGCAATTCATTACGCAGATTCAGCACCATTTAGCCGCTGGAAGCGTTCCCCTGTTCGTTTACAAAGGCCTTTCGTACGCTACAGCAACTGTTCAACAAGCAATCTTGAGTGTGAGGGGTTGGTAAAGTCCAAGGCCATAAACACTGCCCTTCAATTGTGGGAATGAAACAGCGGGCCAGCCAGCCCAGTTCGGGGAAACCAATCACCCATGCAGTTCACCAGGACCAGCTTCGCGGGCTCGCTCACATGGTGAGGACATCGGGTCCGGCCGGAAGTACAGTAGTAGTTTCCAACGTTCGATGCTGGCACCCCTACATGTCTTAGACAGATGGGGGTCCATGTGCAAACCACTGACATTGGGGGATCGTGCCATCTACTCTGAAACCACAGTATCTGACCCTGAAGCAGCATGCAAATATTGAAAAATCATGCCCCAGCCTCCAAAAAACTTCAGGGCCTTTCGATTGGGTGTTGACGGGCCAGTTGTCACGGTGATGAACTATCCCCCACGCCAGGTAGTGGCAGCAGCATTGTGATGCCCATGCAGATGCAGTAGGTCCTCAATCCGGCCCTTGCCATGGTCCTGCGCTCAGACCGCTGCCAGGATGCGTGGGATCGTCACTTCCGTCGTGATATGCTGGAAACTGAGCTGGTCTACGATGGTCTTGACCTCGTCCTCGGCGCAGAAAAAGCAGCGATTGCATGTTGCAAGCGGAAACATGCGAAAACCGCACAATGCCAAGCATTGTGAAACATGACCCCGAATCAAAAAATGTTGAGAAATCATTGAGCCTCCAACCACTGTGAAAACACAATAGATTGTCAAGGAACATGTGCTGGCCTCCACAGAACTCAGATTTACGTGCTAACAATTGTTGAGAATTTGATTGGCATCGACAAGTGCATGGGTGAGAACTACATAGCCAAAATCGTGCAGTCAAAAAGCCTTGTTCCCGACTCAAGGCAGAAACCAAGTTTTCATTGACTGGCCAACGCCAAAAACTCTAAACATCCGGCCCCGCGTTGGTTGGGCATGAACCTTGCGCCGTCGTTCGCCTTGCGCCATGTCAAACACCACACCGGACGGCTGGCGTCTCCCTGGATCGAAGATGGGACCGGTTCCGTCGGCTTCCTGGCCCAGTTTTAGGGTCTCGTTTTACACGACGAAAACAGCTCCAACCAGTTCTAAATAGTCTTCACCGGCTATAGTATTTTTGGGGTACCACCATCATGGAAGTGGATGCCGCACAGGCTTTGCAAGGGAGGGAGCCCTTTGGCTTTGGCCAGGGCCGTCCACGTCCGATGGTCTGATGGAACCGGTGCGCCGAAACGGCCAGGGCCTGCAGACCTGCGGCACCTGCGGCACCTTCGGCCTGACCGTCAACATCCGTCAACGGTTCATCGGTTGAAGTGGATGTCCTGTCCAGGAAGCCGGAACGCTTCAGGCAGCTGTACGGTACTAGCCGGTCGCCTGCGTGCAGTTAATTAGTCGTTGGGTCGGAAAAAGATGTAAATTTTAATCTCAAGGTTTGGGGATTGACCCAGTTCGAGAAAACCATCGCCAGATCCCCAGAGCATCGACCAGCTACACCCCCGAACACGCGCCCTTTTACCCACCTGCGCACATGGCGAACATCCACTGCAGGCGAGGGCGCCGGTTGTCGGAGCTTGGCCACGATGTTGGCGATGCTCATGGCAAACTTCATGCCTTGAACCTAAGCGTCTCGGGGTCTGGTTTCCTCCGTGCTGCGATTGTTTTCTGCTGTGCCGGCTGCGTTTCCTCGCGTCGCAGGTGCAAGTGCAAGCGTGCAGGTGCAACCCCCTGCTTGCTGGTTCTTGCCCGCGCACATTTGCCTGCTCGCCTGCATTGCTTGCCTGCATTGCTTGCGTGCCTGCGTTTGTTGCAGCTGAATGAAAAGGTCGGGTGGTGCTGGCACTGGCAAAACCAGGACAAAACAAACTAACTCCTATAATTATTCCCGCGAGGACCTACTGAAAGGACCAGTGGGTAAGTTTGCAAGGGTTGAAGGACACGCGTTACTCCTTAGTACTTGTTGGCTCGGTTCGAGTGCAGCACCGGAGGTTTTTTGGGATGCCGAGGCGCAGCCCGAGGAGTTTTGAAGAGGCTCTGTAGACCTGGGCCACCGGAGGGTCGGCAAATCCATCGTCTTGAGGGTCCCAACTGCCCAGGCGACCCCGGTACTGACCCCGGTACCTCGGGACCCCTCGCCCTGCGACCGGTACAGAAAGGGGCCAAGCCCCCCACAATCCCAGTACCCTAAGAATCCGGGCCTGAACCAACACATATAGGGCCTTGAGGGTCCGACCCCTGCCATGGAGAGCCCAAAGGATTCTTAAGGCTAGGGAGAAAACCTCAAAGGAACGGCGATTCGGATCATGTGGACATTGTGAACATCGATTGGGGATTCGGATCGCGTCGACCAGTGGATTTGGGAGACCGATGAGCTCTGGAGCTCATGCTGGCGTGGTCAGGAAAACGAGCTACTAGGAGCAAGAACGCTACTAGGAGCAAGGACATCCCTACTATAGGAACAAGAACGCTAGACATGGAGATGAAGCTAAAGGAAACGTTTTCTGAAGATGTCATTCTTCAGCCAATCTGGTGCGAGCCTGCCAGCGCAAAAAGCCCGAATTGGGCAGCTCTCGCAGTCAGAGGACCACCGTGTCTCCCTATAGGCCCGCCTTATTCTCCAGCACGGCGGTTGATCACCACGTTGTGCCCTTTGCTCCCTTCAGATCAGGCGGCCGTGCATGATGGTGTCCATGACTGTTGAGTTCTGTTGAGGGGCACCAGATCGAAGAAGGGGCCCATCTGTCTCTTCCCGGCGCCGTCTTCACCCAGCGGCCCCAGTCTGCGTCTGGCATGCTCCGTAGAGCTCTCGCTCCGCGGAGCGACCCGCGGCTGAAGCGAGCGGAGAAAAGGCATTGGTTGATCCGGTCGTGCGGCCAAATGGCATCAACATTAGGTCTTAAGGTTTTGTGTTTCAAGTCGCAAGTCGTAGGGATGTTTGTTTTTTTTGGGGGGGGAGAAGGGCACTTCGCAGCCGCTTCTGAAGAAATGGCCGCACTGGGCTTGGAGAGCCGCTTCTCCGAATGTGGTCGGTGGGTTCCACAAAAAAAGGTCACTTGAAGGAGAGTGATTGGCCATTTCCCCAGTTCAGTCACAGACTCTTGGGTGAACGTGCTAGCGCCCAGCAGGATAGGTATCCATGACCGGTGTTCTAGAGCATCAAGTCCCTGGATTCACATCAATTAAAGTAAGGATATCAAGGGCTCATCCATCAACCTACCCTAAAAAGGGTGGTTTAATGGCTAGCCGCTAGCCAATTCTAATGGGGGGGTTACCGATTCAGCAAATGGTCATCCCTACTGTTCCAAGTCAATGGTCGGAACTTGAAAAACACTTCTGTTCAGTTCAGTATGCTCAATTGGTGCCAATGGACGGGGACCACTGCCGCTGTCCATTTAAAGCTCTACCAACAGGTCTTCCAACGTTGGCAAAAATAACATAATGATACATAATCATAATTATATATACCCTAGAAGTCCGAAGACTATCTTTTGGCCAACTGAAGTAAAGGAAGCTCCTTTTCAGGTCACCCAAAGACGATTCTTTTTATAGTCTTTGACTCCCAAGGTATATATACTTGGATCTGTCCAGGAAGCCGGGGACAAAATAGTAGGGGATATCCACGAATCACCTGAAAACCACAAAAATCACCTGAAAACCGCACATCTTCTAAAGGCGTTCGGGGTAGGTTTAGAGGGTCCCAAAAGGTACTTGGAGCTCTAGGGAAAATTTTTATAGGGGAGTGATGTTTGGCGGTTTCAGTCCCAGTCGCTAGGGGCTGCTTCAAAGAGGGTGCTATAGATCGCATCGCCCGCAGCCTGCGCTTGCACGTGGCTCACGAAGACACACAAAAAAGAACAGGGGAATCGCGTGAGTTCAATCGCCATGCCAGGTCCGGGATGGAGCAGGTGGCACTGGTTTTTGCGCAGAACACCGTCCGCTGCGTGAACTGGGTGTGAAACATGGGAAACGGGTGAGGCTTGCATATCCCAGACACGACGTGTCTGGGACTGCCATATATGCCGATCAATTGACCCCCAAAACCACTCCAATGTAAACATATATGGCATACATGGAGTGTCTGGGTATTGGTGTCATCACTGACTTGAGAGAGGAGGGGGTGAACGAAAGGTAGCAGGCAATCACAAGTAACCCTGGTAGAAGTCCATGACGGCGTGAACCGGCGCAGGGGGATTTGATCCAGGGGGGGGGGCCAACGGGCCCCCCCCCCGACGAACAGAATCAACTCTTACAGGACCAAACTCAATGCACAATCCCAACTCCTGATTGTAATACATTTTTGCTAAAGCAAGGAGAACTCAGGTAGCTCAAGCTACCTTTCGTGACTATCCATCCCGCAACTGTCCAACGTATTCACTTTCTTGTGTTTGGAGTCCACTTAGCTTCCCAACCCAAACCCGGCGGCTTGGAAGCAGCAAGCAGAACACGAGGTCACCTCGTGTTCCGGGTTCCTTTTTCTTCCACATTCCTTCCTAAGGAGCACACACCAACAAAATCACCCCACCTTCCCTCACCAGAGACCGCATAGGGTCCCCATCTCCGCACACATGGATAGTTCTACAGCGCTCCGGGCCTCCACAGACCCCACGGTCTCGATCAAGAGTTTCAGCCCGGCCTGGTGACGCCGTGAGGTCCGAGGGGTCCGCGAGGTCGGGATTCCGTCGGACCGGGTCTCCGAGAGGAAAACACATGACTCCGCGCACGAGAGACTCAGACTCTCTCCTCTCTCTCTGTGCTATATATACATGGCAAGCCACGGTCAAGGAGCTATGGTTAAGACATCGTGTCTACCAAATGTTCGATGTCGCCCCATCCCAACCTTATCATTCTTCAACATTCCATCCATCCTCACCTCCATCTGGCCATCGAACTCGACCGAACTCAAACTCCTTTTTCTCCCCAGGCCCCCCAAAGCGAAAAAAGACCACTACACACACAAACACACACATACCGGTACCAGTAGTTGACATATCCCCCTCACATCCAACTCCAACCTACCCCACAACGACAGGCGCGCAAGTTCCTCCCACCCAACCGCGACGCGTGCGCTGTGCTTGTTTGGCACGAAAAAAGGCACGCGCGAGAACGGGAGGCCGCCTGCACTTTGGTGATGGCGGTCTCCGTGAGTCTCAGCTCCCCAAAGTTCTCGGTGTCGATCTCCAGCTGGGCGACATCCAAAATATCGTCGCCCACCTGGACACACCACGACGATGGGAGGCGTGTCCACCACCACGCGAACTTAGGGCGATTTGTTGCCGACCGTGTCGTTTTCTCCGCAGAGAGGGTCTTTTTTGTTTAACAAGCTCGCCAGAGTCGATGGTGTTGTTTTTCTGCACTTGGGTGTTGGAGGCATTTTCTCAACCACCAGGGTTGATAGAATTCGGAAGTGTAAAAAATGAATATACCGAATCAGTATGTGCGGTGATGTTGGCCTTGGCATGCTTTGTTGGAATGTGCCGGATCAAACAGCAGCCATGTTGTTCCCAACGATGAAGAGCTCCTATAAGCCTTCACTGGAAGTTGCTCTTGCGGTTTTTCGTGGTATTGTGACATTGGTTTGTCTAAGGATGGGGCTTTCTTCATCTTTCTTGTTCGGTTTTGGCTTTGCCGCTTCGCCGCTTCGGCTCTTCAATGTGTATCGCAAGATGGGGCTTCCGATCGGTATCACTGCGAGTGAGGCCGTTGAGGCCGTCCGACCGTCGGAAGGAGCCTCCCAGCTCTCATCGACGTTGTCTCCATCGACTTCCACGCGCTCCGTGGGCTCCAGATTCACTTCGTCAAAGTCAAATTCCTACCCCGACGGCGCGAAGGAAGAGAGGGACTGCCATTGCCGAGACACACGGCCGGTGGTGCGGGGGGGGGGTCTTTCTGGGAGATATTCCAGTCGGAGTGTATGGGTACACATCCCCGAACCGACGCGAGACCCGGAGCAAGCATGGGGTCGGACCTGAATCCGGCCCACAAAGGGGTATAGGCTGTATAGGGTGAACAATTTTCCCAGACACTTCCAAGACATCATCTGACATCCCCCTTTCATGTAAAAATCGGACGCCAACGACAATGCGCAAGACCGAAACCTCCAAGAAGATGGCTTGTAAAAAATAGACAAAGAACACACCGAGACTCACACCATAGGCTTCCAGAGGAAGAACATGTTAAAAGCGGCGTTCATCGGGTTCTTGGCTAGGTCACTGAACAATCATTTCAAATCTGAAGTTTCTTCTGAATTGGCGGTAAGATGTTAAGATGAAAAGCATGCCCTCCACATTGAATCAATCGAAATCAAACATGTAGAAAAGAGCGTCTCCCCAAATGCGGCCCTACAAAAGCGGTTCAGGGAGCCTAAATGATTCCAGTCTCCTCCAACATTACCCCCTCTACAATGACAGGGGGGGCATTGGGGAGGGCTCGAGTTGCTACGCTTGATGAACCACTGCGTGACACCGCAGTTGACCCCCTCGAGTCGCACCACGACCTGTTGATCAAATAGTGAACCTCCCCATCCCCAAAAAGGCTTCCAAGCCTAGGCTTCACTGCAATGACTCTAACTTCTCCAACAATCGCACCAGGCACTAGGGGTTCGCGGCATCCCATGAAAATGAAGAACAAAAGAACGGAAGGACGCGTCCTGGTTCTCAAGGGGCGCACTAGCACCAATACTTGGATTTGTGGCTCCTAAGAACCCGCAGGATTTAAAGAACTATTCCGATTCCCCCAGTTCTGGGGATTTAGCCGATTTAGATCGACTTAGCCATAATTAGGGACAATGAAACATCACCTTAAGCAACACCAGGCAAATGACCCCTTGGCCATGAACCCTTATATACTTAGAATCACCCCTGATCAACTCCAAACAAGGCATAGCTACTTGTGGAAGCCGTTCTGCGTGACCCATCCAGTGCAAGCAATCACTTGGTTGAACTTTGTTGCCACTCAGGATGATGTGAATTGGAGTGTCTCCTTATGCCCCCACACTATACCCAGCCACATCATGTCAGGGATGTCCGAATTACAGGGTTCTCATGCACAAGAAAGACATGGTACTAGACATGGCTTAAGATTTTGTAAGATGGTTTCCTTCCAGTAGAACATGGGGACAAGGGACCAGGGAGTTTCTTGCTATTCAATCATTGGCTCGCGTCCATGCAAATTGCCACTTGATGAGGAACACGTGCATGCTTGGTGGTTCAAAACCGCGTCCAATGGACGGCCAGGAGACCGACCGGGTATGACTTACGAGGTCGTTCACTACATGGACTGGACGACCGTCGGGCTTGCTGGCACCCAACCCAACCACCAAACCGAAACGGATGTGGGCCATGAGCCGCATTTTTCGAGTAACAAGTGCCTCGCATTTTCGAGCAACAAGGGCAATGCGGCATTACTACTGAACCAGAAAGCCTACATGCGTTGTTCACCACACTGTGGGCCTCCCCTCCCCCCGATGGCCCCTGTGACATGCTCTTCTTCGTCGCCCTCAGCGGACGGCGGCCCCGTTGAACAACGGACGGACCACAATTGAAGTGCCCAATATCATGGTGAAACAATTGAAGTAGCAACTGGGCTTTGAACATTGTTACACAAAGCTCCACTACCAAAGGCTTCTTGAAGAAGCTCACAGCTCAGGGGGGGAGATTGTTGCGATGTGATCATCGGCTCGTTTACACTGTTTACACTCTGGAAGATTCACATGGAACGTGAAAACCGTGCCCGGTTTAGTAGAGGAAAATACTCTTCCAAATGGTCCATTTCCAGGTTCCATGTGCGTCTCTGAACCCGGGTCTAGGTGCTATCCATGGCTAGCTTGACACCCAATATACATCCAAATACCAAGGTCTCCGAACCTGGTCGGAGCTATCACATGGAGCTTAGGTGCTATCCATGGAGGTCGGGGTGCCCCTGTCACGACCCAAAGGCTCCTGGAGGATCTCCCCCGACTTCAAGCTGGATGATGCGAACTCTTTGGCCGACACTGGAAGAAGGAACACCCAGATGCTCCATGTGTGTCACATGGCTACATTGACCCCGACTTCCACCACCCGAAATGACACTCCCAATGACTTGCCAGTCCCATGGAGCGGACACGGAAGAACAAACCACAAAACATGTTTCTAATAGCAAACATTGTTACTACTAGTAAGGCACCTGTTACTACTAGCGTGGCACCTGTTACTACTAGC